AGCGAACGCGATTTTCAAAAAGAACATGAAGGAAGCTAAACGGAAAAGCCTGGAGTCAATAACAGCGTCGATAAACCCTACCTCAAATCCAAAAAAGGTCTGGTCCGACATCAGAACTCTAACCGGCTCTAACAAACCCCCCACCATACAGTTTTTAGATACCAACCAGGGCCCTATCTACGCGCCAGAAGAAATGGCCAACTATTTCGCGACTATCTGGGCGGAGTATTCGGAAGACTCCAACTTCAACCAAGAGTTTATTTCAAAAAAATATAATACCATCAGCAATGAGTACATTAACACCACCAAACTTACTCTTAGCAACAGGATTGAATGTCCGTTTACCACATTTGAGTACGACTCCACAATTTCCGCGATGTCTGGTAAAACACCCGGCAGGGACAGAATATCATATCCAATGCTAAAAAATTTACCGTGTCAAGTAAAAGAAAGGGTTATTGACTTATATAACGACATTTTCGAACACGGTATATTTCCGCACATGTGGAAACATGCCATAGTGGTTCCAGTCCCTAAAACAAATGGCCCCTCCACAATGACTTCCGGGTATAGGCCGATATCCCTTCTGCCTTGCTTGAGCAAGGTACTAGAGCGAATCGTCGCAAAACGGATAATGTGGTTCGTAGTTACTAAAGGGTGTACAAGTCCCAATCAATACGCATTTAAAGAAAGTCATAGTACAATTGATGCCCTCTTATCGTTCGAAAATTACGTTTCCAATGCCATCGCAACAAAAAATCACGTCTTTTCCCTTAGTCTAGACTTCGAAAAAGCCTACGACAGGATCGGCATTCTCGTAGTTTTGAGGCAACTTGCTAGATGGAAAATTGGTTCTAGAATTTATAATTTCGTAAAGAATTTTTTGACAAATAGAACTTTCTCCGCAAAAGTTAACAATAAATATTCTAAAACACACAAGCTTCAAAACGGCATACCTCAGGGCTCTCCGCTCTCGGTAGTTCTATTTATAGTTGCTTTTGATGAAATTAACAACATACTTAATAATTACAAAAGAATATCCTATGTAATCTATGCCGATGATGTCATTTTGTTCACTAAATCTAAAGAGTTATCACAAGTACATACGGATTTTAATCAAATCCTTACAGACATTTCCGTTTGGTCACAGAATTCGGGAGCATCTCTTTCATATGAAAAATGTAAAATGTTACACCTTTGTAATAAACATGCTTGTCAACCACTTAATTTAAGTATCAACAATGTTAATATTGCGAACTGCGATAGCTTAAGAATCTTAGGTATTATTTTCGATAAAAAACTGACTTACAAAGATCATTGTACTTATATTAAAAAAAACCTAATAACTCGCCTTAATATTGTTAAGTACCTATCGTCGAAGCACTGCTTTGTACACCCAACAACGCTTATAAACATAACGAAAGCACTTATCCTGTCAAAAGTGGACTATGGCCTAACAATCTATGGGCACTGCTCAAAAAGTCAGCTTAAATTAATAACACCAGCATACCACGCAGCAGCTGGGAGAAGCATACGGGCCTTCCCTACTTCACCACTGAAATGCATTTTAATGGAAGCTGGACTTCCGTCCATACAAGAACGAGTAACTCATAACACACTGAGGCTAATTCCTAAAATACTTAACGGCAATAATCGCACGCTCAACAAATTGGTAGCTTCAGAAATTTTAAGAAAGAGACCACTAAAACGTAAGTCCACAATCGCCAGATGTATTTCTTTGGCGAAGGCACTAGGCCTTACAATTACACCAAAGACTCCAGTATTCAAAACACCGTCGCCTTGGCAATGCCTCAACAGTTTTATTTGTTCCGAGCTCATGGCCTATCACAAAACGAATACTTCACCACTAGTTTTTCGTAGTATTTTTTGCGAACTCAATACAGACCTTAAAAACAAAGGTTGGAATTTTTTATACACGGACGCGTCGAAAACCATTTTTCATACAGCATTTGCAGTTGTCGACGAAAACAAAAATACCTTGCGTGCGGGTCTACTCTATCCTTTTTGCTCAGTTTACACAGCTGAAGTAGAAGCGATACGTCAAGCGGTTAAAATTGCATTGATCACAAACAAGAAGTTTATTATCTGCACCGATAGTCTTTCCGCAATTAACATGTTGACTAATGTGAAGAATAAAAACGCCCTTGCTTTGTCAATACGCTCCATGTTGTCAGAACGAAAGGAAACGATAAAAATTATGTGGGTCCCAGGCCATGTTGGCATTGCCGGCAACGAAGCGGCTGACCAGAGAGCAAAACTTGCCACTAACGAACCACTAATTACTTGCCAGGCTGTACTAAATAGTGACGTACTCCTACTAATCCAAAGGCAAATAACAAATACTAAGATACAGAATTGGACCAACTTCAGACATCACTATTCTAATTACAACCTAGATGGAAATAAACCAAGTTTTCCACTGAACGTATCCTGTAAAGATTTAAGACTCTTTACTCGGCTGCGAATTGGTCACTCAATCATCACGCATAGCCACATTCTAAAAGGAACAAATAAACCGCAGTGTCCATATTGCAATTCAAATAACCTCACAGTAATTCATCTTATTGACGAATGCCCATCCTTTAACATAATCAGGAAAGAAGTTTTCGGTATTAACACCCCGTCGAACTACTTAAAAGATGTGGAGACAAGAAACATACAAACAGTCGCAAAATTTGTTAGATTAACGAATTTAAATAAACTGATTTATTAAACTGATAATATTAATAAGTTTTTTCTAGAGAGCCGAACGTCTATGCAACTAGCGCTCCTTATTTATTGTAATCAGTGATTGATCACTTTCTTTCTGTATAATAATAATAATAATAATA